AAAAAAATTAATACAATCTTATTGTTCTCCAGTAACAGTGATCTAATCTTTCTCATTTCTGATAGTTATGCCTTTTGGTTCTATTTCTTGCCTAAAGGCATTAGCCAGAAATCTCAGAATTTTAGTAAATAATATTGATAATAGCAAGAATTCTTTTCTTGATATAAATGTAATGCCTCTGAAGCATTTTTGGTATCTCTGTCCCTTTGAGACTTTGATAAAAGTTAACTAGGAAAATGCATGGATCTATAAAAAATGTTTTAACAGTTTTAGGAGGTGCAAGGACCATGGAATACATGAGTGTTTTGTGAGTTTCATTAAGTATGAAGTTGGTTATGGGTTAAAAAATTTTTTTTACAATATTAGTATTTTTTTTTTAACATTTTACATTTTTTTTTTTTTTTGCAATTTCATGAGGCTTGTGGGATCTTAGCTCTCTAATCAGGAATTGAACCTGAGCCAACACAGATTGGTCCAGGTTTGAACCTGGGAAAAAATATTCCTAAACACTGGACCACCAAGAAATTCCCAATAAAGACTCTTTATAGTGCTAATTTAGAAATAAGAGAAAACATGAATTTTATCAATTGTCTTTTATCATCAATCAATATATTCATATATGCTTTAGTCTTGCATTGCTGAATTATATTAATATGCTTATCAATATCAAACCATCCTTGCATTTCCAAGATAAATTTTAGTAGGATTTGATATATGATATTTTAAATATTCTGTCAGATTTAATTTACATTAATAATCATTATATTAATGATTAGGCATTTGCATTTCTAAAAGGATTACAGTGCACATTAGAAATACTTTCAAATAAAGAGAATTGTAAGAGAAATTATTTGTTTGTTAAACCTCAGTAGGCATGAAAATGCTATCAATAAAAGCATCTCTTTTGTAAGCATTCTGGTAAGCGTTAAATAATACAGAAATTCAGAAAATTAGAGAGCTAAAAAGAACAGCAGATCAAACCCACTCATTTTATACTTTAGGAAGACAGTTGATCAGAGAGGTTGTTAAGTTAATCAGGGAGGTTGTTAAGGCAGTTGATCAGAAAGGTTGACTTGTGCAAGATCACACAGCATAACAGTGGCAGCATTGATTGTACAAATAAGTTGTAATAAGAAAGTTGTCAAGGCTGAAAGAGAAAATCATCCGAAAAACTTATCTTATTTCCAGTGGAACATAAATTCTAAGGGAGAGTGAAAAGAGTGACTAAGATTTGTTTCTGAAACAGTGAATGTTTCACAAAGAAATGATGTAAGCATTTTAATAAATTAAAGACATGACTGTCATCTTTAAGGGATTCAAAATATTATGGGGCTTCATATACCCTTATCTTTCAGTTCCAACTCTCTCACTTTCTCTGTATGTATACTTGGACAGTTCTCCCCAACACACACCAGGGAAGCTTTCCTGCCAAGAATGGGCTAAGTACATTACCAACAGGGGTAAAAGAAACACAGAACAAATGAACGAGGCTTTGAGGACAGATATTTCAGAAAGTCTCTAACTTTTAGAACTATCTGGAACTATACCAAAACATATGAAGGGCCCAGGCAAAGCAGGGGCTTCTCTTGCTTGCTGTGTGTGCAAGTTCTGGTGGATTGTCTTTTAAGGTCTCAAACAGGGTCTTATGAAACCTGATCAGCTTTGTGCTGAAGCTATTCACCCAGCACTTCCCTTCCTTTAACCTCATCAGCACAGAGTCAGCAGGAGCCTTGCAGAGCTGCCCAACACGTGGTGCCCAGGCACTGGTTGACTTCACGTGTGGTCAAGGGCTGACTTTTGAGGACTGAAACAATAGGACTGAAACATCTGCTTTGTTTGGATAAGCCAGTGAGAAACTCAGCCAAACTGATTGTTTGGTGTCACATAGCAGAACAATCAGGAGATGACTGATTTTTTTTTTTTTCTCCTAGCCGCTGTGTTGACACAACCTCAGATTCTAATCTAATGGTACATTTTATTGAAGGCTTGCTATAAAGAGCACACTTTAAATTTTTTTTCAATCATTAAGAGGCTGTTATATTTACTATTTATTTGAATCTCCAAACACTCTATAGCAGATAGAACAGCTAATATTATCCTAATTTAATAAAAGATAGACAAGATAGACTTGGCTAATTCACTCCAAGTCTCATAGCTTTTTGTTTGTTTGTTTTTCTTTCTTTCTTTCTTTTTCCTTTTTCCTTTTTATTTTTTGTTTATTCATATCTTTTTAGTGGTGGAGCTAGACCTGACTTTAACTGTCTCTCCCGCTATGCCACACTGTTCCTGCTTCATTAGCCTTTCTTTTCCAAAAATGTATACTTTCTGGAGAGAAAGTTGTACTTGTCAGAATTTTGCAGTTTCTTTCTTTCTTTCTTTTTTGGTTGGACTACACGGCTTTTGGTATCTTAGTTCCTTGACCAGGAATTGAACCTGAACCTTTGCAGTGAAAGCACCGAGTCCCAACCTCTGGAATACCAGTGAGTTCCCAGAGTTTTACAGTTTTAAATACTTCCAAATATTTGGAATGCTTACAGAAGCATTCAATAAATAGATGCTATGTAGGTTGTAAACACATTTCGTTGAGGAAATTTACTTACATAATATTTGGAGGAACACTGAAGAGAATTGAAATCTATTTTAAAAATAATTTAATGGATATAAGGATTGTCTTTGTGGGGCTTTCCTGGTGGCTCAGATGGTAAAAAATCTGCGTGCAATGCAGGAGACTCGGGCTTGATCCCTGGGTCAGGAAGATCCCCTGGAGAAGAGCATGGCAACCCACCCCAGTATTTTTGCCAGGAGAATCCCATGGACAGAGACGCCTGGAGGGCTACAGGGCACGAGGTCACAGAGAGTCGGACACTACTCAGCGACTAACACGCACACACGGGGTGTCTTCATAGAAATACTAAGATGATAAAACAAAACTTAATCACTCAGAATTTAGGACATTTAAAAAAGTTTTTTCTTTGTGGGAATTTTAAAATATATACAGAAAAAGAGAGAAGAGTATAATGAACCTGTCTTCCCACTTTAGCCATTATCAACATATGGCCAATCATTTATCACCATCCTCTATGTCCCCTACATCCCTTCCTTGGATTATTTTAAGTAAATCTCAGACATTATAACATTTCATCCATGATATTTCACCATGTATGTCTCAAAGATAAGGAGTTGTTTTTTTTTTAAATTTTGGCCACATCCCAAGGCATGTGGGAACTTAGTTCCCCGAACAGGGATCAAACCTGTGTCCCTCTTGCACGGGAAGGCAGAATCCTAACCACTGAACTGCTGGGGAAGTCCCAGCAGCCTTTTGCTTAAATCACAATATTAGTGCACATTTTAAAAGTGAACAGTAACTTCTTAACATAATTTAGTATCCAGTTTGTGCTCAAATTTTTCTGATTGCCTCCAAAATGTCCTTTATGGTTGGTTTGTTCAAATCAGGATTCAAACAAGATGCATACATCAAATTTGCCTAGTATATCTTTAAATCTCCTTTAATCTAAGTTCTGTCAAGAAAAATATTGAAATAACTGCCCCTGGAAGAATTCGCTGACATTTGAGGAAGTAATTTCATTTATATATCCAATACTTGATTTATTCTAAGGCAGGGTTAATTATGGGCTTTCCAGGTGGCTCAGTGGTAAAGAATCTGCCTGCCAATGCAGGAGACTGAGGAGATGCGGGTTCAATTCCTGTGTCGGGAAAATTCCCTGGAGAAGGGAATAGCAACTCACTCCAGTATTCTTGCCAGGGAAAACCCATGCACAGAGGAGCCTGACAGGCTGCAGTCCATGGGGCGACAAAGAGTCAGACACAACTGAGCACTCACTCATACACACAGGTTTAATTGTAAGATGCATTATTATTTTATGTAGCACCAAGAAATTTAAAATGCTGACAAATATCATTGTCAGATGCCACCAATTGTATATTCCAATTGTATATTCCAATTTCAGAGAGATAAAAATGGGGAAAATATGTCTTAAAATCAGTAAAATATGGCAGTTGCAACACAGCAAACTCACATGCTATTTTCAGATTCAAATGGGATGTGGGAAAGGCATATGGGATGTGGAAAAAGTCCCTGAGATGGGACTGATTCACTTCTATTCCAGAGCAGATGAAAAATGAACAGCGACACCATCCATTGTTTCATGACTAATCATTGTGAACTCCTTTCTCCTCTGTGTGCTTTGACTTCAAGTTTGACACAGAATTTGAACTTCTTAGAATGTTTATATGGTATTTAATGTACTCAGGACTTTGAAGTGAAGTGAAGTCATTCAGTCGTGTCCGACTCTTTGCGACCCTATGAACTGTGGCCTATCAGACTCCTCCGTCCATGGGATTTTCCAAGCCAGAGTGCTGGAGTGGATTGCCATTTCCTTCTCCAGGGGATCTTCCCAACCCAGGGATTGAACCCGGGTCTCCCGCATTGCAGGCAGACGCTTTACCATCTGAGCCACCAGGGAAGATACAGTCTCTGAGAAATGCTTACTCCTTTGATTACTCTGACTTTAGGATGTTAGGTGGGGCTTCCAAGGTGGTGCTAGGGGTAAAGATTCCACCTGCCAGTGCAGGAGATGTAGGACACTTGAGTTCAATCCCTGGGTTGGGAAGATCCTCTGGAGAAGGAAATGGCACCCCACTCCAGTATTGGTGTCTAGAGAATCCCATGGGCAGAGGAACCTGGCAGGCTACAATCAGTGGGGCTGCAAACAATCAGACATGACTGAGTAACCAAGTACAAAATGTTAGGTGAGCCCAATTTGAAAAATACATATTCATAATGCCAAAGCCTTTGACTATGTGAATCACAATAAACTGTGGAGAATTCTGAAAGAGATGGGAATACCATACAACCTGACCTGCCTTTTGAAAAATCTGTATGCAGCTCAGGAAGCAACAGTTAGAAAGGGACATGACTTTCTGCCCGTGGACGCCACCGAGAAAGCATCGTTGAAGACTTCCCCGCCTCCACTGCCGTCATGTCTAAACCAGAGTCTCCCAAAGAGCCCGAACAGCTGCGGAAGCTCTTCATCGGAGGATTGAGCTTTGAAACAACTGATGAGAGTCTGAGGAGCCATTTTGAGCAATGGGGAACTCTCACAGACTGTGTGGTAATGAGGGATCCAAACACCAGGCGCTCCAGAGGCTTCGGGTTTGTCACATACGCCACGGTGGAGGAGGTGGATGCGGCCATGAATGCAAGGCCACACAAGGTGGACGGAAGAGTTGTGGAACCAAAGAGGGCCGTGTCAAGAGAAGATTCTCAAAGACCTGGTGCCCACTTAACTGTGAAAAAGATTTTTGTTGGTGGCATTAAAGAAGACACTGAAGAACATCACCTGAGAGATTATTTTGAACAGTATGGAAAAATTGAAGTAATTGAAATCATGACTGACCGAGGCAGTGGCAAAAAGAGAGGGTTTGCTTTTGTAACCTTTGATGACCATGACTCTGTAGACAAGATTGTCATTCAGAAATACCACACTGTGAATGGCCACAACTGTGAAGTGAGAAAAGCCCTAACTAAGCAAGAGATGGCTAGTGCTTCATCCAGCCAGAGAGGTCGAAGTGGTTCTGGAAACTTTGGTGGCGGTCGTGGAGGTGGTTTTGGTGGGAATGACAACTTTGGTCGTGGAGGAAACTTCAGTGGTCGAGGTGGCTTTGGTGGCAGCCGTGGTGGTGGCGGATATGGTGGCAGTGGGGATGGATATAATGGATTTGGTAATGACGGAAGCAATTTTGGAGGTGGCGGAAGCTACAATGATTTTGGCAATTACAACAATCAATCTTCAAATTTTGGACCCATGAAAGGAGGAAACTTCGGAGGCAGANGCAACAGTTAGAATGGGACGTGAAACAATGGACTGGTTCCAAATTGAGAAAGGAATACCACAAAGCTGTATATTGTCACCCTGTTTGTTTAACTTCTATGCGGAGTGCATCATGCGAAATGCTGAGCTGCATGAATCACATGCTGGAATCAAGATTGTGGGGAGAAATATCAACAACCTCAGATATACAGATATACCACTTTAATGGTAGAAAATGAAAAGAAACTAAAGAGCCTCTTGATGAAGGTGAAAGAAGAGAGTGAAAAAGCTGCCTTGAAACTCAACATTATAAAAATAAGATCATGGCATCTGGTCCTGGTCAAATATTCTGGCCTTCAAAATGCTGTGCAGGGTGCAATTGCAGAGATCATTTCTTCTTGGTTTGTGCCATCCTAGATGTATGCTTGAAGTGAAGTGAAGTCATTCAGTCTTTGCGACCCCATGGACTGTAGCTTCTCAGGCTCCTCCGTCCATGGGATTTTCCAGGCAAGAGTGCTGAAGTGGGTTGCCATTGCCTTCTCCAGGGGATCTTCCTGACCCAGGGATTGAACCCGGGTCTCCCGCATTGCAGGCAGATGCTTTACCATCTGAGCCACCAAGGAAGACGTATGCTTAATAGACAATAATATTCTTTACATCAGCTGGGTGACACAAGGAGGAAAACTGGACAAATTGGCCTCAAACATGGTAGTTTTGGGTTTTACCTCTTAGTAATATTGACGTCACAGATTAGTTCTTGATAAGATGAGTGTCCACTTTAAAGACTTTGGGCTACAACCTGTTCCCTTCTTGTTAACAGAAACCTTTTGATAAGGAAAGGTTAGGAGGGTAGGAGGGGTATAATTGTAGCACAGGTCCCAGTATCGATGTAAACAGGCTCTAAACTTTTTTGCCTCAGGTCACTGACAGTTTCTGAAAAGCAGAAGACTTTGATTTCTCCCTGGATAGAGTCCAACTCAGGGCTGAAGAATTTTGCTTCTAGCTATCTGTGCTTATGAGAAGAATCTGAGTTGTTTATTTACCAGATCTGAAGTTGCCCAAAGGCAGTATATTCCTAAAGGCTCTCGAAACCTGGTATACAGAAGTTTTTTAAAAAGTAGAAATGTACTACCCAATTCTTTGTGGTATATGTGCCCTCTGAGATATGAAATAGACTTGTTCTAGAATTAGCTTTCTAAGGATCCAGGAAGTTCTAACTTGGAAAATGTGAAATCAAGGTTTCAGGTAAAGCTGCAATTTTCATTTGCTCTCCTGTTTCTGCCTTGATTTTTTTTTTTTAAATTTTAATTAGCATACATCGTTGCACATAACTGAGCGACTAAACAAGAGGAACAAATAGTTGATTTACAATGTTGTATCAGTTTCTGCTATACAGCAAAATGAATCTGTTACACATATACATATATTCACTCTTTTTTAGATTCTTCTCCCACGCAGGTCATTACTGAGTATTGAGTAGAGTTCCCTGTGCTATACAGGAGGTCCTTTTCAGTTATCTTGCCTTGATTAGTGAAAGGAATAAAATCTTTCAATTTTGTCATAAGGAGTTTGACTTAGCAGATTATTGATCAGCTTCCCCTATCCACAATTTAAGTTTCAATGATAGTGTATTTGAAATGTATTTGGAATGCTGCTCCAAACTTACCTATTTTTCATAAGTTACAAGAAAGACTTAACTGTAGTTTGCTATCTTCATTATCCTGGTATCCTGAGAATTTACACTAGCTACTCTGAGGTTGAATCTTGCTTCACAACAATTCTCACAACAAAAAGTGAGAATTGTTGGTTAAGGGGAAAGAAAAGTAATGCATATAAAGTTCCATGAAAACATGAAACTTAGGAACGTTAGAAATTTTCATTTATTTCCAGACACTCTGGAAATAAAGAAATGTAAAAAGGGAGAATTACTTATTCAGAAGCAGAATGAGTTTAGTAGTGGATATACTGGAAACTAAGACAAAATTGTAAATCAAATGAACTTCAATATAAAATAAAACTTAAAGTTAAAAAAGAGTGGATATATTATATATATTATAATATTTATTACATATTTATATATACTGTATTATTTATAATAAGAAATATAATATGTATATAATTTCTTATATATCTTATATATTATATAATATATGTGTTTTTTTAATATATAATATATATATAATAGTGGATATACTTTCTTAGTTAAGTCAACAATAAATGCTCTTCTTTGTCATAGTAGTAAAATAAACTTCTGACTTACATTGTTAATTAAAAATTCAAATCCCATGTGTCTATTTTTTCTCTTCCAGTGCTTGTAATGTCAGTCATCATTTCAACACAGTCCTCAAGAACTGTTTGAAGAACAACTAATTAAGTTTATATCTTCTGTTTGTTTCAAATTCTAAATTTTCATAGATCTGTAAACCTAGAAGGGAGCTTCTTTTTCAGTAAATGTTTTATTGAAGTATTATATTTATACAGAAAGTTTCAGCCAAATAATTTTTTGTAAAGTGAACACACCCATATGACCGCCACTCAGATCAAGAAATAGATTATAACCAACACCATAGGAAGCCCCCAGGTACGCCCAATTAGTCATTCCTCATTCCAAAGCTAACTACTATTCTGACTTCTTTCATCATAGTTTTACCTGTTTCCAATCTTTGTAAAAATGCAGTTAGAAGTATCATTTTGAATCTGATTCTCATTCAACATTAATGTTTGTGAAACTCAATCACAGTGTTGTAGGCTGTCCATCCTCATTATTGTATGTGTGTGTGCTGTGCGCTGTGCTCAGTCGTGTCCAACTCTTTGCGACTTTATGGACTGTAGCCCGCCAGGATCCTGTGTCCATGGGATTCTCCAGGCAAGAATAATGGAGAGGGTTGCCATGCCCTCCTCCAGGGGATCTTTCCGATCCAAGGATTGAACCCATGTCTGTTACATCTCCTGCATTGCAGGCGATTCTTTACTCAGTGAGCCACCTGGGAAGCCCCATTGTTAATATAGTATTCCATTATATAAAAATATCATAATATACATATTCATAATATGTCTATCAAATATTGATGAATATTTTAATTGTTTTGAGTTTTGAGCAACTATGGAGAGTCCTGATAAGAATATTTTGTTTTTGATTTTTGGGACTTGTATGTGTAAGCTTCCCTTGGTTATACAGTGAAAAATGGAGGATTTAAGTCCAACTTTAGTAGGTATTGTCAAACAGGTTTTCAAAGTTGTAATACACATTTACACTTTTACCAGTAGTATATGAAAGTTTAATTTGCTTCACCTTCTTGCCAACACTTTGTACTGTTAGTCTTGTTCGTTTTAGCTATTCTGGTGGGCATGCAATGGTTTTAATTTGCACTTTGCTGGTGATTAATAAAACAAGCTCCTTGTCACAGGTTTATTGATCGGGTACCCTTTTTATGGAATACCAATTTTAACCTTTTGCCCATTGTTCTGTCAAGTAGGCTTCTTTCTTCTATCGGTTAGTGGGAATGCATCATATGTATTGTGTTGGCCAGTAAGTTCATTCAGGTTTTTCCATTTGTTCATTTGAGTTTTACCTTAAACTGTAACAGAAAAACCCAAGTGAACTTTTTGGCCAGCTCAATAGATACAGTTTTGGGGTTGAATATTTGTTCTATAAATATCTTTTCCCACTTGCCTGTTTTCCTTTTCACTGTTTTAATGATACTGATAAACATAAATTTTTATTTTAATATAGTCCAATTTTCAGATCTTCATCTTTATGATTTGTACTTTATGGTTTTTCCTATTTTAGAAAATTGTCACCTATCTCAAACTCATGAAAATACTCTCATCTGTCTTCTTTCTAGGAGTATTATTGTTTCATGTTTGGAATTAAAACTCTCTAATATTAATCATATCTGAGGTGAGAGATAAGATTCAATTTTCACTTTTTTTTTCTTATATGGATATCAATTAACTTGGCATTATTTGAAAAGACTACTTCTTTCCTCATGATACCACACTCATTCTGTGTCTAAACTCTGTTCAGTTCCAATGGTCTATTTGTCTATTTTTCTAAGAATGACATGCTAATCAATTATTACAGTTTTGTAAGTTTATTAACTTTGTTCTTCTTCATAACTATCTTTGCTATTCTTGGCCCTTTGAATTTCCAAATAAATTTTAGAATCAGGTAGTAAATTTGCCTAAAAACCTATTGGGGCTTAAATTGGATTTACATTTAATATCTTAGATCAATTTGGGAAGAACTACATTTTTACAGCAGTGTCTTTCAATCCACAAATGTAGCGTGTTCATTCTATGTATTTAAATTTTATTTATTTTTCTTTTAATATAGTTCTGTGATTTTTCTATGAAGGTGTTTTTAATTTCATCAGATTATTCCCAGATAGCATGATTTTTAAAATGCTGATATTTTCTATATTGCTATATAATCAACATATAACATTATACTCAGTCAGTTCAGTCGCTCAGTCATGTCCAACTCTTTACAACTCCATGGACGCAGCATGCCGGGCTTCCCTGTCCATCACCAACTTCCAGAGCTTGCTCAAACTCATGTCCATTGAGTTGGTGATGCTATCCAACCACCTCATCCTCTGTTGTCCCCTTCTCCTCCTGCCTTCAATCTTTCCCAGCATCAGGGTCTTTTCCAATGAGTCAGTTTTTCACATCAGGTGACCAAAATATTGGAGTTTCAGCTTCAATCNCAGTCTGTTGTTCCATGTTGAGTTCTAACTGTTGCTTCTTGACCTGCATACAGATTTCTCAGGAGGCAGGTCAGGTGGTCTGGTATTCCCATCTCTTGAAGAATTTTCCACAGATTGTGGTCTACACAATCAAAGGCTTTGGTGTAATCAATAAAGCAGAAGTAAATATTTTTCTGGAATTCTCTCGCTTTTTCTATGATCCAACAGATGTTGGCGATTTGATCTCTAGATCCTCTGCCTTTTCTAAATCCAGTTTGAACATCCAGAAGTTCACAGTTCATGTACTGTTGACGCCTCCCTTGGAGAATTGTGAGCATTATTTTG